TGCATCTTTCACCAAGGCATTTTTCTCCAATGCCAATTACATTTGTCTAAAAAGTTTGGCCAAGAAGTCCTTCCCCTCCCTACCAGAACTGCTTGGAATTTACTTTCAATTTTTATGCTCAGAAAGTGTTTAAAGGTAGATCACATCAAAATCCTAAGGTCATTTTTTTTTATTGAGACAAAAGGCTTTCAAGCTGCCTTTATCCAACATAAAGGTGAAAAATGGGGCGCAAGGCCCTTTTTTTCCTTTGTAGGTCATCTCGCTGTTCTCAGTGGTGGCAGATGACAGGGCAAGGAGCAATGGGCTCAAGTTGCAGCAAGGGAGGTTTACACTGGATATTAGGAAACAAATTCTCTTGAGGAGGGTGGTGAAGCAGTGGAACAGGCTCCCCAGAGAGGCGGTGCAGTCTCCATCCTTGGAGGTGTTTCAGACCCAGGTAGACAAAGCCCTGGCTGGGATGATGTAGTTGGGGCTGGTCCTGCTTTGAGAGGAGCTTGGACTAGATGCGACTCCTGAGCTCCCTTCAACCCTCACTCTCTATGATTCTGAGTGACCATCCTTGTAGAGTCCCCATTTCTTCTCCTGCTTCTCCCACAGCCACTAATTAAGCTTGTTACCTGCCGGTCCTGTCCCTCTGAGCCACTTAGTGCCCATGCGTTTTGAAGCAGGTCTCTTACATTTCAGTTGAGTGATATGGTTTGCTGTGTCTCCATTAAAATATAGCCATATTTCTCACCTGTGCATGGAATCGGGGCATCTGCAGGGAGTAACGCATACTTTTCTAACAGGGCCATACCAGCTTTTTCTGTCCTCATAGATGAGAGAAAAATGTGGCTGCAATCATGGCACTTTCCTGGTTTAGAGGTGCTTTTTGATGTAGGCAGGATCTTTTCTGTACAGATAGAATCTGTTGCAACTTAAACATAAATAAGATCGACGGCAACCAAACCTGACTCGAACTGAGAGGCATCGATTCATTGAGGAACCTGCCACTCTTCTGTATTGAAGCGCAGCGGAGGACTGAGACAAGTTAGGTGATGATTTCTCTCTGCTTGGAACGAACGCAGTCCTTGGGTTCTGCCTTCCTTAATACCTCGGGCGAGCAGCATTGCTGCTCCCACAAACTTTTTTCTCAATACCAGTGAGCTGCGGGTTAGCTTGATCCTGACTGCTTCATTTTTCACATTGTTACACGGCGAGGCCTATGTTTATGCTCCTTAGCTGTATAACTAATTTGACAGGGGGAATTTCTGGGGAGAGCTAGCTTGATCACTAGGATCAAAGGCAGCCCACAGGGAAGCTTTCAACAGCTGTGGGGCTTTCACCTTCTTTAGATGGTGGCTGTTGACACGGCAGCCACCGAGAAGCAAACACGAAGAAAGCAAAGCGGGGAGAATGGGGGTTAAAAATGCAGTTGGCTGAAAGAAGAAGAAAGACATTATTGCTCACAGAGCATTTTCTTTTTTTGTCTAGGGTTGGGATGGGGTTGAGGGAAGGTAAGTATCTGGCCAAAAATAATATTATTTTACATGAAGGAAAACATAAGCCCCCCCTTTGCCATTGCAGGGTTAGTATAATGGAGCAGCTTGCAGATGCTGTCACAATTGTGTTGCATCTCAAATTCATTGGAAAGTGAATTCAGCTTTCAGTAAACTGACTTTCCCCCAGCTCTCCTGAGCTTTATGCTCTAAAGACTTGGCTTGGTCCCTCTTCCCGGAGATTTGTCTGAACAAATCATTTCCATTGCTTTATTCAGCGGTCCCAGACCATTAAAAAGAAAGAACTCTAGGCCCAGCAGGTCAAAGTCACCGTTGGTGTGTCACTGATTTCAGTAGCACTGCTGACAACGAGCATGATTTAAGTGTCCTGTTGGTCGGGTACCTTTTGAAAGAGAGGGCTTGTTTAAATACCTGTCCTAGGGGCACTGAAGCTTCAGGTGTGTATGTGCATGTGTATGTCAGATGTTTTTATTACTGATGGTATTTACCAGGACGTATTTTTATCATCAGATACACTTATCGTCAGTAATACAAAAAATGGAATACTAGCTGCAGAATGGTTGTGTCTTGCCTGGAATCATAATCCTCTCCACACCACCTAATTGTGATGAGAGAAAAGGAGAGTGATTTACAGGGCGGAAAAGCAGCTGGAATTCTAAGAACTTGTAATTACCGTGGGTTTTTCTTTATGTAAATTCAAGTAAAGAAAGAGAGGGAAGGGGAAAAATAAAGCTCAGCTGAGATCAAAATGGAGCACTGCGTGCTGGGACTAGCTGTCTCTGCAGTTGGCATCTTCCTGGCAAAGATGGAGGGGGTGCTGGGACCATGTGCAGGAACCTCATGACCTGCATGTTTCTACCCCCCAGATTGAGGAGGGAAAGCAAATGTCTGTTGCAAGCTCTTGCATGTAGGTTATTTGGCTTCACGGGCTAATCTCTGCTGGTACCCAAGTATTTCATATGTTAGGGCTAATGTGATGGTCCACCTCGTCTTCCTGGACTGCACTAAGGCATGCTTGTAAAATGGTTGTGTTTGATTTTTCCACCCCAGTGGAGCAGCGGGACTTCATTGGCTTGGACGACACAGGAAAGAGACTGCTCTTCATGGCCAATGAAGCTGACCTGGATGAAGAACTCATTATTAAGAGATCCATCCTTCAGAAGTAAGCCCCAGGTGGACGTTTGCCTTGGAGTGGGGAGGAACAAATGTGGGCTGGGGTGGTAGTGGATGGAAAATGCCCTGTGGTAAAGAAGGGCGGGGGGAAAGGACCGGCTCACAGTCAAGCTGGAGGACTCCAGAGAGTGGCAGCGAGAGCACGGGCTATTGTTCTGTGAGAAGCGTTCATTCTTTTTGCTTTGCAACCAGTTGGTGTCCGTGTTTGACAAGAGCCGATTATCATGAGAAAGAGCAGGCAGAGGGAAGGATGCAGTGAAAGCATTGTCTGTTCTTCAAGAAAAGCCAATATAGTTAAATTCAGAGAGAGTTCAAGTTCACATGTCTGCGGTCCGTTCACACAAACGAGATGCTCCTCTCATTTGTCTGGCCGTGAATGGACTTCAAGGGGACCCACACTATAATTTCCAAATGCTCCCGTTCACATAGAGCATGAATCCGTGACTGCCTCTGCAGCCAAAGCGATTCATTGGAGAACCCATTTTGGATTTGTGATTAGACTCTGTGTAGGCGGCACATAGGTAAGTTCTTTGAATCATTGACCTTCCCAAAACATACTATTCACATCACTTCATAAGAGTCCTGTTGGGACGTTTGCTGCCGTGCAATATTATATGGCCCTGGGAAACCTATACTACCCGTGGGTGTCTCATCGGAGACCTCAGTGGAGTCTTCAAAGTCCAGGCATGCAGCCCAGGGTGCTTCTAGCTGATCTTAGATGCTGGTCCTCATGAGAAACACCTTTGCAGCAGCTAGCTGATATTTTGCAGCATTCTAAAAATACTTTTAGGTGAGTTGAAAAACGTCACTTGTGCAATCTTTCTGCTGATCCACCTTGAATCGTGTTGTTATGAACTGATGAATGGGTGCGAGCTAAGTGCCCCCACCTGTGCGTCATCTGCCCTTCAGCTCATGTAGCATTGTGCATGGTTCAGGACGGTAGGATGTGGGTTGCCTTCCTGCTTTTGCCACAAAATCTATATGGCCGTGACCTGTAACCTCATGATCATCGTGACGCCCACAGAATTGTTGTGGCTTACGCCACGTTGATGTGCTTGCTGATGAAATTGTACCACGGGACTGCGATTGTTACAAACAAGCCACGGCGTTCTCTGCTGTACTCGGAGAATGTTGCAGCTTGTTGTTTTTCTCGCTGCATTTACGAGTGGCCAAAATCATTACGGCTGTGACGCATGTGATTTTTGTTGACCTCTGGTTTTACAGGTTTGTCTCACTCCCGTTATCTCACTTAACCTATCTTTTAGAAGGAGGATTAATCAGTCTTCATCCTCCGGGACATCTGTTCAACCCCATTGTCTTCAGGAGATCTTCTCACGTGCAGCTGTTTAGAATTTAGCAAATGATAGCATTGATGGTGCAGAATCTGCAGCGCTCTTTGTCTTAGCTGTGCAGATGGTTAAGGGCATAAAAAGCTTCACAGCCATGCTTCTCAACTTTGTTAGACTCCAGTCCCCTCTCAGAAAATGCCAGCTTAGTTTTCACTGTTTTTTTGGCTACAGAAAAATCCTAGAGCAGTTCTTCTTTTGCAAAGGACTCAGAAAGCCCACAGCAGGGCAGGCTGTTTAACACTCTGGATTCTTATTGGAAATCTCTGAGTTTATCAGGGTACCGCAGCACCCTGGTTAAGAATCACTGCTGTAAGGATTTATGACTGCAGCTACGAGACGTAAAAATGCACAGGCAAGGTTGTGCTGAATAAAGAGTTTGTTTGTGTCTAACTATATTCCCGAGAACCACCAGGCCATAGTTTTATACCTTGTCCAGTGGATCGCCTGGTATTTCAGAGCACAGCAAAGAAGCGTGGGCTTGGTTCTGACTTGGACTTACTGAATCTCACCGCACCCCTCTATCATCAGCACTTACTCAGAGTTGTCACCCATGCTTCACCTGTCCCCGAGCTCCTATCCTGGGGGCATGTTAAGGGATACGGTGTGTTGTAGATGCAAGGCCTTTCCCTTAAAGAATTCCCCACTTGTGCAGGTCCATAGGGGTAGCAATCAGGAGCTCTGGGAGAGGAAAAAATGCTGGCAGCCCCTCACGTCGTAACCACCGTGCTGTCTAGACCTGCTGTGAGCCAGCCTGAGCAAGGGAGGAGTTTCTCATGCAGAAACAAGAATGCAAAAGTAAATCAAGAGAAGGCGACAAGCCCAATCCTGCTGTCTTTCACAGGTCACACAAAAGGCCCATAGCAATCTCTTCCTGGTCTCTGGTTGTTTTTCCGTTCCCGAAGCAATGGCTCATTGGCCTCGCACAGGATTTCTAGTGCCCGTGCTAGAAATTCCTTTAGTAAGAAGAATGGATTTTTCTTCTTTGAACGCTCGCGTGGGAGTGTTATACCCAAAGCCTTCAGAGAGGCCTTTTGCAATCCAGGGTTTGTGCCTGAGCTCCGTTGAGCTGTTCTTTCCTCGGGACGGAGGACCGAGCGCAAATCTTCTTTCACACTGTTGAACCAAGCAAATGACCAGGACCTTTGGTGACCCCGTGGTTCAAACAGCAGCAGTCTAGACCAAGTATGGAAACTGTTCAAAGGAACGTTTTTTCCCCTTCCCTCTCGCAGGATGGGAGTCCTGTTGACAAAACACCGGGCGCTGTAGAACACTAATTTAAAACAACTCCCCAAACCCCCGGGAGAACTTTTTTCCTGACCTTCCCTGCCTTGTTCCTATCACTGGATTTCACACTTTTCACTTCCCTGCTGTAAAAGAGCAGCTGGAAGGGATGAGGGGGAAGCTCACAGTCCCCTGAGTACCTGCTGAGTATTAAACATTCATTTGCTCCCCCTCGGAGCGGTTTAGCACCAACTGAGCTATTGCAGAAGGGGATATTCTGGTTTGAGAGGAAGTCAAGGTTTATAGAGGGACTTGCTTCCCTCCCGGGCACTCCAGACTCTGCCTCTTCACCTGCCAGAGCATCAAGCTACCACTGTGACGGAGCATTTTGTGCCCCCATGTTTAAGAGTCCCTTTCCCAGGCAGAGTCAAATATCTGTGTTCAAAGGTATTTGCCTCTGCATAAAAGAACATCAGAACAGGGTGCGTAGGCAGCTGTGCCACCGGTGCGAGTGAGAGCAGTGCTGTTAGGGAAGGAGGCATCATGTTGGGATACCAGAAGCATTGGGTAAGCTGGTCTTGGCATTCATTGTGGGAAATGGCTGAGACGTGGGACCCAGGAGCTAAAGCAATGCAGCAGGGAGTCCGGCAGCATCCTTTGGAGAGGGGAAACACAAGTGGCATGCCCACCCCGGAGGCCCGGTGTCATCAGTAACATCCCCGACCCGGGGCCGGGCGGACCGGGAGGCCGAGAGAGTAATGAGAATTCCAGAGCCTGTTTTTTTTCCTTAGAAAGAGGGAGCTGAAGTATTCGTTTTCAGAGAGCAATTGCCACAGACAGGGAACTGTTCGCTTCACCTTGGATATTTATGGCCAGGCCAAGCCAGACAGTAAAAGACACCTGTTGGAGCAGGTCTGCATTCGGAGCATTTCCTTTTAAGATGCTGCGGGCTGCTGAAGGGCGAGTCGTCCCTAATAAACCATCAGGCTTCGTGGGTGTTCCAGCCGCGGGATCGCAGGTGCAGGCTTCTCCTGGAGGTTATGCCAATAAATCACCCTGACAATCGCAGCTACTCATTACCTCATCTGTTGCAGACAGAAAGGAATACCTCATCTATAAATAGCCAGAGCAGGCATGGGAATAACCTGGAAATAGCAGCTCAGATTTGTTTTTAAGATTGTTTAATACAAGGAGGGGGAGAAAAGGAGGGCCTCTTTTTCTTCCCTTCCCCCTCTCACCGTGACAGTAAAGAATTAAGGCCGCACTGTTGTTTTAAGGCTAAGCTAATAGGCAAAAGTCACCATCATGGCAGCTGGGTAACGGGAGCTCAGGAAAAGCTTGTGGACACTTGATTTCTTTTTTCACTGCCGTAAGATATTGGCTTTTTTGTGTTCGCGGCTTATTTTAAGTAAGTGCATTGCATAGACTTGCTGCAGCTCAGTGCGGCTGCTGCACTGCACAGCTCTGCCCCGCTCAGAAATTTCCATCTGAAATTCTTCCTGACTGCTAGGACCACGGACTTCCTCACCCTTTGTCCTAAAATGCAACACCTTGAAAAAGGGCAGAGGCGAAACACGCAGGTGCAATGATTCTGTTTACCTAAAAACATTTCAAGTCGGTTTGCTCCCCCGTGTCGGTAAAATTGGGACCTTTCGGTATTGAAACTTTCTTTGCAAATAGCAGTCAGATTTTTTTTTTTTAATGGAGATGTTTGGGAAGCCCTTGCGGAGCGACGGGTAAGGTTGTGGTTCTGCTTAAGGAAAATGTCAGGGATGGAGGGGTCTCAACTTGTCTTTTCCAGTGACCCCACGCCTGTTCAGTTTACAAGCAAAAAGCTGATTTTGTAGCCGGGGTCTGAAAGTCAAGCTGGGGCCTTTTTGGCTCAGGCATCCCTGGAAATCACAATTTTGTGATTGGCTTTAGCTAATGGTCCCACTGCTCATGTGCAAGTTCCTTGCTCTCGCTCCCGGAGTAGTATTGGCTCTGTGCTACGAACAGGAATTTAAAAAGTAGTAACACTTACTTTAGCCAGGAACACAAGCAGCTTCATCCTGAATTAAGCCAGGGAGCAAAGTCTATTGAAGAAGAAGGTGTGATTTTTACACACTGACTTTTCAGACCGTAACCACGCTTTTAAAAACCTTGGCATGGCTTTAATCATATTTCTTTACAAAAGAACATCTTGCCGAATATTTCAGCAGCAAAATATTGGCGGGTTTGCTGCTGCCTGAGCTGTGAGGAGGGAGCAGACATTCTCAAGGTGCCCTTTGTAGCTCTCGCTTGCGTGTTTAGAAGTTTCTCAGTTCATTAAGTGCAATAGCCATGAAGTAAAACAGTCTTTTTTTTTCAACAAGTCTGCCTTTCTTTATTATACGTTTAAACTTTGCTCAACTTATTTTGCTCTTTCCTGAAATACATT